CACATAGCCCCTCCCTTAGACCTCACTGACTTGGGTGGGCGGTAGTGACAAGCATGGAGAGCGCAGGACAGTCGCTCTGATGGGGAAGGAGGGTGTGATGGAGCGGCTCAGAGGTGAGGAGTGGAAGTCAGGGAGGGCTTCTCAGAGGAGGTGGCGGGGGGGCATGAACACAACCCACCGATAGGAGCTTCCAGCCCCCAGAGGGCAGGGCATGCACTTCACCCCTACGGTGCTCAGCACACAGTTATTATGTCATAAATATTGAAATGCAAACAAGTGTATGCTTAGTGAGGAATGATCCAAGTTAAATATGCACGTAAAGCCTGTGGATCAGCCTGGTGCCTGGCTGTTTGTTTTCCACCTGCACCTGTATGGGGGCAACGTGAGTTCGGTACCAATCCCTCTGCCGGCTTGTGTGAACACCACAAACACCAGCGCCTTTGACCCCTGGGAACACTGTCCCCATCTCCCCATTTCGCAAATGGGGCAACGGAAGCCAAGGCTGACCCGACCAGCAGGTGCCAGATCCAACTGGCTCTGAACAGAGAACAGGTGGGAGAGGTACGAGAAGGTCTGGGCCTCACCAGGAGAGGTAGCTTTGAACTTGGCCTGGAGCTTCCAGATGGCTCTGCAAAAAGGGAGACAGGAAGCTAGAGGCTCACGGCAAACACAGACATACGTTCTACATCCCTTCACCTCTGCCAGCCCAGCCCGCGGCCCCCCCTCATTTAACCTGCACCCACTCCAGCATAATCACCAGCAAAACAGAGTCAAAGGAGCCAGGGTCTCTCCTCGTTTTGCCATCTGTGATGGCCCATCCCCTTCAAAGAGAGGGACAACCCAATTTCCTTGATGCTTCTTAATAGCGCGAGCCAGGGGCTGGGTGCTGGGTAGCTTTGCAGCTTTCTCCAGCTTCCAAGGCCCTCTCCCTGCTCTGAGGCCGTCTGGTGCTGGTGCCTCCTCAGTGGGGCTACTTGGGACGTTGCCCCTGGGGGCTTTCGGCCACACACGAGGCAGCCCACACCCCAACACCACCATAAACACGTAGGAGGACTGGAAACATTGAGAGCCAGTGTTAATGCAGGGCCAAGGGTGGAAGAATGGAGCTTGAATTCTCAGGTGCCAGAAATAGAGGACAAACTCCGCCAGAGGTGAAGGAAAAGCAATTCAGCGGGAGCTGGACAGAAACCAGAGGCAGACTGGACCCCAGGGGCTGGAGGCTGGAATGTCAGTGCCCACCCAGGGGGGCCCATGTCCCAAATATCTGGCTAGCGCCAAGCGCACCTAGGAGTCTGGGCCTTGCTTGCATAACCTCACCAGACGGCAAACCCAGCGGACACTCTGGAATGCTCTGTTCTCGTACAGAGTTTTCTGCATTTGGTCACCTCTCCCTCCCCTGAAAATGCTCCCTCCCCTGACTTCCACCCCCATTCTCCTGGTTTTCTCTCATGCTCCCTGAAATGTCCATTTTCTCTGGGATTTGTGAAAAATCTTCTTTCCCTACAGATCCCATTCACTACCATGGCCCCCTTTGCCATTTCTGAGCAAGCCCCCTGCCTTCCGAGAGCCGACACCTTCTCTGCCACCAGGCAGCACGGCCCACCAACCTTCACGAATACCCAGGAATTAGCCTCGTGCCAGGAGCAGCTTTAACCCATGAGTGAGGGTTAGGGCACGGATACCCCAGCTTCCACAGCCCCTAGCCTGGGGAATTCTGGCGCCTGTCTTCCCAGGGTTCCCCACGCAGTTCAGGTCGGCGCATCCCCTGTGGCCTGAACATCACACATTTTATCAGCTGTCCTGCCTCACCCCCATTATTTCTCCCCTCACTTATTAATAATCCTTACACCTCTCAGTCGCTGGGTTCACTCATGCCTCCAGGGAAACCCAAAGTGAGACGCTCCTCACGCTCAAACCTTCATGCAACCACCATTTCCCCAAAATCAGACAACCTCCTGTTCATCCCATCTCCATAGATGGCGTCCCCTTTCATCTAGTCCGAGCCAGAAATCTAGTGCCTTTGGGCTGCTTCCACGCCGGCTTGGCCTCAGTGTCTTAATATCCCTTGGCTCCATGCTTCCTTCCATCCCTCTTCACAACCTCAGTTAAGACCCCAGTTCCTCCACAGCCTCGCCTTGTCTTCCCACGTCCAGTCTTGCTCTTCCATCTTCCACACTTATTCTCCAGCTATTTCCAAAATGGCAGTTGTTCCACTTATTTCCTCCGATTCAATTCTTCCAGAGCCTCCCTATCACTAAGGAGAAACCCCACACTGTCCAGTGGGACATTCAAAGGCCTAAATACGTGTACCCATGCCTCGAGCATGGGCCTGGCCCGTCCTCTGCCTGAACCACGTCCCCATCAGAGCACCTGTCGGGTGTCGTAGTAACTACGTGTCTGCTCAGCTGTCTCCCCAGCTAGACTTGTGCAGGACACCTCCACACAGCTTCTTCCTCACTGCACCCCAAGCCACCAGAAAATCACCTGGCACATCATGGGAATTGAATAAATGCACTTGAACCGACCAGTGAAAGAATCAGTGAATTTGAATGCAATAAACACTTGCATATGTTTTTATTCACCCAACATCTTAACCCCTCTCAGTGTCTGGGGATCCTCTAACTTCAGAGCTTAGTGGGAGGCAAAAACACCCCTCGGCAGGTGCTGAGTATGTGAGGGTCTTGCTTTCCCAGACTCCCTTGCAGCTGGTCCTGTGACTGAGGCTCTGCCAACTGGACCCGGGGCTGGTGGGACCAAAGGTGGGCCTCAGGGTGAGAAAGGCAGGGAAAGGAGGCTCCCGATGCCAACCCCCCATCTGCCTGTCTCTGTATGCCTCGCTCTGTTTCTCTCTTCTTCTCTGATTCTCGCAGTCTGTGTGTGCATGTGTCTCTGTCTCTCTGTCCTTCCCTCTGGCAGGGCCGCCGTGGAGGTATCCAGAAGGTGCTGCTTTGATACAGATGGGGCTCTGCCGGTGCGGTGAAGGCGGCTCCCGGTGCACACAGAGAAGCCAGCGCACACGGGTCTGCCCCAGACCAGATCCGCGCCGTGGTTCGGACACTGTTGCTGGAAGCTGAGCTCCAAGCAGCTTCTCCAGGCCCCCCATCGATCCTCTCAGGGAAACTCCTCTCTTGCATAATCAGCCAGAGCTGCTTCTATTGCTCACAAATAAGAACACTGACTAAGACATTAGGAGAGCTGCTTATAGATTTGTGAAAATTAAAATTTAAAATATCTTTAGAATTGATGAGAACGTGAGAGATCCTCAGAGTAGCTAACACAACGCCCCAGTCTGACAGTTGAAGGCCTGAGACTCCGATCCTTGCAGCTCAGGAAGACTCAGCCCCATCTGGAAACCAGAACTTCGGACTCCCACAGGCCCCACCAGGGGCTCGCTTCCTGGGAAGCCATAGTTGACAACTTCCTAGGAACAGACGTCTAGTTGGAAAAGAGGAAGGCAAATTAAAACAAGGAGATAGCCCTCCCCACCTGTGAGAATGGCGCAAATCTGGAAGCACTGCCAATACCAAATGCTGGCCAGGATTTGGAGGAACGGGGACCCTCGATTACCGCTGGGGGGGGGGGACACAAAATGGCGCAGGTACTTTGGAGACAGTTTGGCAGTTTTTAATAAAACGAAACAACCTCTTACCTACGATCCAGCAATTGTACTCCTTGACATCCACACACAGGAGTTGAAAACATGTTCACACAAAAAGCTGACACAGATGTTTATAGCAGCTTCATTCATAATTGCCAAAGCTTGGAATCAACCAGGATGTCCTTCTGTAAGTGACTGGAGAAGTAAACTCTGGTTCATTCAGACAGTGGAATATTATGTAGTGCTAAAAAGAGATGAGCTATCAGGGTATGAGAAGGCATGGAGGAGCCTTCCATGTGTAACCCGAAGGGAGAGAGGCCAGTCTGAAAATGCTGCGTACTGTCTGGTTCCACCCATGTGACATTCCGGAAGAGGCAAAGCTACAGAGACAGGAAAGAGATCAGTGGTCGGAGGGGTTAGCGGGGAGGGAGGAATGAAGAGGTGGAGCCCCGAGGATTTTTAGGGCACAGAGACTACTCTGCGTGACACTGTCATGGTGAATGTGTGTCATCATACGTTTGTCCACACCCCTAGAATGCACAACACCAAGTGTGAACCTTAACGCAAACTATGGACTCAGGCTGATAATGATGTGTCCATGTAAGTTCATCAGTGGTAACAAATGTACCCTCTGGGGGGGGGCGGAGCTGGGTCAGGGGGGCAGGGAGTAGATGGGAAATCTCTGTACCTTCTCCTAAATTTTGCTGTGTACCAACAACTGCTCTAAAAAAATAAAGTCCTGATGAAAAAAAATTGTTTAAGTAATAGAAGAGGCTGGTAGGTTTAAAAAGATTTGAGAGACACACCCATTAGAAAGAAAAAGAAAGGAAGGAAGGGAGGAAGGGAAGAAGGAAGGAAAGAAGGGGGGGAGGGAGGGAGGGAGGGAGGGAGAGAGGGATGGCATTGGTTAGTCAAGGAGAACATGCACCCCAGAAGCAGAGAATTTTGAGAAAGCAGCCTTGGCCTGTTGAAGAGTCCACCCCAGCAGGTTAAGTGAAAAGCAAGTGGCTGGGCTTCTGTCAGGGAAGAGGGTGCCGTCTGGGGCCGCGAACAGGGAATGTGGCTCAGCGACAGAGACTCGCACCGGCTGGGGGCTGGGCAGCCACCTTGCGCAGTGTCCCCCCCCCAGGGCCACCTCCTGGGGCTCTCTGAGCCCTCCCACGGCGGGCCTGCCGGCCTGAGCTGCCTTCTTCTGGAAGCCCCTCCGCATTGCCCAGCCTCAAAAACCAAACAGAACTGGTCAGAGGAGCCAACTCCAGCTTTTCCAGGCGGAAAGCTGAATCTAGCCGCAGCTAGACAGAGAAAATGTGTGCACATGACTCGCAGACTACTCAGGGCAAATGGCACGAGGGGTTATTTATTAGAATTTCACTCTGGATTGCGACACCACCCTTCAGATCACCTCTGCGGTTGTGCAACCTCTGCCCTATAAATACAGAGACACTCCTGCCTCTGGAAGCCTCTGTCGGCTCAGCCTCCGAGGAGCCTCTCTGCCTTCACCGGGCATCCCGGCCCAGCCTGCCAGGCGCCATGAGGGTCCTCTCCTTCCCGCTGCTGATTCTGTGCCTCCTCTGCTCCCACCTGGCCCCAGGTGAGCTTTGAGACCCTGTTCTAGCACCCTTGCCCTGGGCCAGGAATTCAGGGTTTGAGTCTGAGGACAGCTGCCCCTTGGGTCCTGGGGGTGGAGCGGCAGAGAAGCATCCCCGAGGCTGAGGGGCGGGCGTGGGCAGACTGTGATGGGCAAGCCTGCTGAGCCGGGGGCCTGGGGCTTTCCCCCGAGCCCCAGGGACGAGCCTGCTGGGAGCACCCCAGGCTGACTCTCCCCAGCCCGCAGGGCAGCCCAGCCGCAGGAGTGACAGACCCAGGTCTCCCTCCCTGACTGTGCTTGGGGCTCCATGCCCTCGGTGCTTGGCAGGGATCGGGGCCTGTCACAGGCAGCTCCAGCATCCCCCGTCTCCGTCTTTGTCCCGGACATCTAGAAATCATCCTACGTGGAAGGGGGCCACGTACTCTGGCTCCTCGCATTGAGAGGCCAGCTTCCTATCCAGGGGCGAGAGGTGTAGGCTGCCAGCCCCAGCGCACCCCGGTCACTGGGTGGGGCCTCCCAGGTGGCCCGCGGTAAGCAGGTGCACCTGCCCCTCCCACGAAGCCAGCTCACCCTGCACCTTTGACTCACTTCATGCTCGGGCGCTCAGGGGTGCACAGGTGGTCTTCAGTCTTCCCTGGGAAGTCCTCTCGTGTTCTGCGGAGTGGGAAATCTCCTCAGGGCACAGGAGGGAACTTTCTGTGGGGCCGGAAGGGGGCAGCTCCCCTGGGTCAGAACAGCAGCGTAAGAGGAGGTGGGACGCTGCAGGTGGATCCAACTGGGGGACATGTTCTATCGTGGCCTCGAGCAAATCATACAGCTGTCTCATCTGCAAAATGAGGGGGCCGTGGCAGGCAGCATTTAGAGCATGAAAGCTCCAAAGTTCCCTAAAAGATCCGACGGTGCTTCTCTGCATCACAGAAATCTGCTACATTTTCTCCAAGGACGACTCAGTCCCCCCATCTGGAAACTGGGTAGGAAAGTATTCTAATGCAGAGTTTTAAGTTTCCAGCTGGGACCCATTCGAGGGGTGGAGAAATCAGTTTAGTGAGTCGCCACCATGTTTTTTCAAAGAACCAACAATACGAGTGCATGCTGCCCAGGGAGCGCACACGCGTCTTATCCAACTCTGACTTCAGCCGCGTGCGTGCCCATGTGCATTCACACCGAGGGGCCCTGCAAAAGGTCTGACTGCAGTTCAGTTCAAGCTCAGTAAAGCTCGAGAGCCACTATATTAACTTGAAGAGTTACGTTCAGTCGGTCACCTCGACAGATGACTACAGGCATCTCATTCAAAGCAGAGAATATTAAAGTGTTTCCGAGGCTATGCAGGAACAACCAAATGTACTAAGCATTCCGCATAGCAATATTAGCTAACGTGATGGAATGCTAAGTATACGCAGGACTCACTCAGACACTCCCAGGAGAAGCGACCCTGCACTGCCAGCATGCAAATCCTGTCTGCATAACACTAATTCTCCCTCTGGGGACAGGACCAAGTTTATGTTAAGACGGGAGCCGAGGGGCGCCTGGGTGGCTCAGATGGTTAAGCGTCTGCCTTCGGCTCAGGTCATGATCCCAGCGTCCTGGGATCGAGCCCCACATCGGGCTCCCTGCTAGGTGGGGAGCCTGCTTCTCCCTCTGCCTCTGCCTCTCTCTCTCTCTCTCTCTCTCACTCTCATGAATAAATAAATAGAACATTTAAAAAAAAAAAAAAGACGGGAGCCGAGTGCTGCTTCTAGAAGGTGCTGCTTGGGTCCCAGCCTCACACTGGGATTCAGGCTGAGCCCTCACAGGGGATCAGTTCACTCCCTTTTCTGAGTGAGCCATTAGGGCTCGTCTACTCACCCCTGGGGAAACTGAGGCCCACATGCCCCGAGGTGAATGGTGGTTGTGTCACTGCCGGAAACCATGACTGGACCTTCTCTTTCAGCAGTTTTTATCTCTATCAAAAAAGGGGCCGCCTTTTGTTTTATACAAATCTTATTTCTGCCCCTTTTATCTTATAGAAATCTTATTTCTGTGAACACAGAATGATGTCCAAATGACAAGGCAGCTCGTGTCCCCTGCATCAGCTGGATGAGAACCCAGCCGAGGGGTTTAGAAATCAGGATCGTTTGGGGCTGCTCACTCACTGATGCCACAAATATTTAGTTAACAGCTACAGTGTGCAGGCATTGCCCTGGGGAAGGGGAAGAGAACACAGCCCTTGAAAGCATGACCTGATGTTCTAGAAGCAGAGCATGACAAGAAACCCAATTTTATAATTAATTATCTAATTACCATTGTGTTGTGAAATGCCACTAAGTACAGGGTGCTGAGGGAACGTGTGGCAAGGGGACTGACCTGGTCTCGCGGGGCCAGGAAGGCTTTCCTAAGGGAGCTGAGAAGGGAAGGAAAGATGGAAGTCATTTTGGTGTTCATGGTATTTAAAAAAAATTTTTTTTTTTTTACTTCCTTCTTGACATTAAAAACTCAGGATGTGTCACATAAAATTCAGATTTGTATCTTCTCTTAAGAACACAAGCAAATGAAGCCTGAACCCTGGGTACAGCCCCTGTGAGCTGTAGCAACTGCCCCCCCTTCACTGCAGACCCCACTGCTCCCTATCGCTCGGCCTTAGCCTACTTCGCCAACTTTCCCTATCTGTCTGGCTGCTGTGGGCATGCGGATTTGTGGGCCTGAGTTAGAAACTAGTGAAAGGAGAAGGGCAGGTGGGAATAAAGACAAACCAGACAGAAAGGCTATCGGGTGTGAAAGCCCAGAGAGGAAGGGAAATAAAACCCTGAAGCTCTCACTTTTACCTTAGTGCCCCCTCTCCCCAGGCCCGTATGGGGAAGGAAGAACCATTATCCTCGTTTTGTGGATAAATAATTTGGCCGAACTCACAGGACTGCTAACAGGCAGAGTGAGGACTCGAACCCAGGCCATCCGCTCCGACGCCGGGGCTGCCGAGTGTCCAGACAGAGAGGAGTCATGGGGGCAGGAGGCTCTGGGTCCTCGCTGAGTGGGGTCTTCTGCGGCAGGAAACCATCCGGGTGTGTGTGGGCCCCAAAGATTTTTAAACTGGGAGAGGGACAGAATCAGAAATGGCTTCTTTTAGAGACTGTATTGGCAGCGTGGAGGCTGATTGGGGGAGAGCAAAGTGGACCCAGGGACGTGGGGAGGATGTTCTGTTTCAGCTATGCCTTTTCCCAGGTGGTTAGCGCTTCCCTAGAGCAAAACTAACCAAACCCGCTGAGAGAGGCATGGACCACTCCTCAATACCCTTCCTTCCTTTCCTTCCGGGACACCATGGGCACTCCTGGGCGTCTGGGCCTCAATTTCCCCACCTCTAAAATGAAGGTTTGGGCAAAATGACTCCCCGCTCGCACATTCTGGGACCCTCAGAGTCTGCCCTGCCTTGTCCACACCTGAGTGTCTCACTCTGTGATCCCCACCCCAACCTGCTTGCCCGAATTCCTTTCACCTGCCTGACCTCTGGCAGCCACCACCAAGAATGTGTCTCCTATGGCCTCTGGGTCCCGTCGAGAAAAACATGCCCCCCCTCCCCCCGCCTCAGACACAAAGGCCCTGCGGCCACCAAACCAAGCTTCGCAGAGGCCCCTGGTCAGCATCGCACGGGAAACTGGGCTGTGCTCACAAAATACCACACGTGGCGCTTTACAGTTGAACAAAGCGGTTCTATGAATGTCATCTCACTAAATGTCCCAGCATCTCTATCACGCAGGGACCTACTATCATCCCCATTTTACAGATTTTTTTTTTTTGGTAGTAAATCTCAGAAAAGTTGACTCTCAAATACCCAGCCGACAAATAACAAGAACTTGATTCCAGCTCTGGTTCCAAACCCCACATTCTCTCCACACGCTTCCCCAAGACCTCTGGATGTGTCACCAGGCACACGGGTGGATCTTAAGAATAATCTAGGCAGAATTGAATCAAAACGCTCATGAACTTCCAAGAGGCATTGCTGATTTTCAAGGCGGGAGTTGGCGAGCAGGGACCCCATGGGCTATGTGCCTGTGGAAGGGGACCTCCGGTCTTTAGTTTTATTCCAGTTCAGTTTGGAATTTCGTTACTTGTTTTGCAGGAGTGGCCTGTGTATTTGATTTTGTCCCCAGATAGCTTAAGAAGATTCATAGAGGGGCCCCTGGGTGGCTCGGTCAGTTACGCTTCCAACTCTTGATGTCGGCTCAGGTCATGACTCAGGGTCGTGAGATCGAGCCCCGAGTCGGGCTTGCACTCAGCAGGGAGTCTGCTTCTCTCTCTCTCTGCCCCTCTCTAAAATAAATAAATAAAATCTTAAAAAGAGGAAGAAGAAGATGCATAGAGATGAAGTTGGATCCTCTCTAGCCTCCGCCGATGGCTTGAGCACCCGCATCATTCCTAAGTGTTTCGATGCCCCAGCGGCAGGGAAGCCTCTTGCTGGCGGGCAGCCCTTCCCCCGGCATGACTGCCAGCCACCACCTTGTCCTGAGCAGGGAAAGAGCCTAGCTGACTTGCTGAGGCCCAGAGGGCTCCGATCAGCTGATTCTGCACCTAGGACCAGGCTCCCGCCACTTCCCAGCACCACGTCCCCATACGCCTCAGTAGGTGTGGGGCTCTGCGGCCAGAGGTGGGAAAACCCAGATTGCATTCTTTGTCTCCGTGTATCTGCGCGTTTGTTTGCTCCTCACGCATCTCAGACTGCTCGGTCCCACAGGTCAGGTGTTCCAGATCCTGCCCTTTCCGAGAGCCTCCTGCCCTTTTCCTGCAGGTTCCTGGTAAGGAAAGGGGGCGCGGATCCTGGCAGGGGGCGAGTTGGGGCCTCATAGCTTTTCCAAAAATGCTTATCATTTTCACAATTCACTCTCGCCTCAGCCTGGTGGTTTTTTAGCCCAAGACATTTATAATTTAGTCAACAGCTCTCCAGTTTTGCCTTCCAGCACTGTTCCAAAACCTCACTAGTAGCTCTGATCAGATGACACGAAGGGGACCTTGGTGCCCACACTTCTGAGCAGGACAGAGAACGAGCTCCGTTAGCAACCTGCTCACCACACTTCCATTCCCGGGATCCCCCCGACCCCCTGCTCCCTGTCTACTGTTCTCTGCACCCATTTCCTACCGAGTTTCTCGCCACTGAATCCAACCGTCCTTCTTTCAACCAACACCGGTTGTCGCCCCTGAGTAGAGCGACAGTTGGTGTTGCCCCTGCATTGAGGTGGGATTTTGGACAATCTGGCTGTAACTGGCTCAATAAACGTGCAAGAGTCCCTATTTTCGCCGCAAGCATAGAAACTGGCACAAACCTGCTTTCCCAACAGGCCTGCCTCTGCTCCTTCTCACCCCCTCGTTCTTACCTAGAAGCGACTTTTCTCTTTTCCACATTCCTCTGGTTTGTGGCGCTTCGGCGGCCGCCACGGGATGTGCGGGATCACGTATCTCAGGCCAGCTTCGTGAGCACCGACAGGAATGAGCACCAAGTTCCGGGAAGTGTTGTCGCCCTTGGGAAAGGGGAGGAGAAGAGCAGGTGTGAGTTACCCACGGAGCTCATGGGCAGGCAGGGAGTGCAGGGAAGCGCACCGAATCGGGGACGGGACACATGCGGTGCAGAGCCTGCACAGCTCTGGGAATATGCAGGTAACCTTTTCAGAAGCAACTCTTACTTTTTTCCTTCTTTAATTGCAAAATATAACATGCATCCAGGAAAGTGCATAAACCAGGAATGTACAACTTAATGAATTACAAAACAAGTAGCCTGTGACCAGGGTTTAAGTCAAGAAGCAGGACTTGGCCGGCCCCTAAGAAATACCCCTCCAGGCTTCTCAGTCACCCACCCTTGCTCCTTCCCCCAGAGGTAATCACCGCCTGACTTTTACGGTAATGACTTCCTATATTTCTTGGACTTTTACCATGTTAACAATCATGCTGAATAATATAGCTTGGCTCGTGCATGCCTTTCAGTTGGCTAGGTACCATGAGGTAGGGGGCATTGTGGGTCCTAGGATATGCATGTTCAATTTTGATTGATTGATAGATAATAGCACAAAAAATTTATAATTTTGATAGATAACGCCACACCGTTCTCCAGTGAGTGAGAGTTCCCATTGCTCCGGATCCACACCAATTCTTGTTATTGTCAATCATTTTTTAAATTTTAGGTGTCTGGTGAGTGTTGGAATTTTAATTTGCATTTTCCTGATAAACACTCAGTTGAGCACTTTTGTATATAGTTACTAGCCATTTGGATATCTTTTGTGATATGTGAAAATATGTGTCTATATTTTCTATCAGATTATCTGTTTTTTCTTAATGATTTGTAGTAATCCTTTTTATATTCTGCATGCAAGCCCTTTGTAACATTACAAGTCTCTTCTCCTACCTTGTGCTGTAATTTTTCTCTCGCCTGATGGAAACTTTCCTTACACTGAAGTTTGTATCATGATTATAATGTGGCTAAATGTGTCATATCTTTTCCTTTATGGATAATCCCTTTTGTATCTTAAGAAATCTTTCTTTACCGCCAAAATATGAAGAAAGTCTACAACATTGTCCTCTGATGACTCATTATTTCTCTTTTTTCATTTAGACTTATAGTCCACCTGGCAATGGTTTTTAATGTGTGAGTTAAGGGTAAAGTTGTTGTTTTTCTTTTTCAACATGAATATCCAATAATCCATGAATATCCAACTGTCCCAGAACCAGCTCCCCCACCTCCAACCACAACTGTTCTCCTAAGCAGCTGGTCTGCCTCAATTCCCCATACGTGTATGAGCCCCTTTCTGCACTCTTCATTCTGTTCCATTTGTAGGTTTGTCCTTGCATCTTTACCAAACAGTCTAATTACAGTGGATATGTAATTAGTCTCGAAATCCAGTAAAGCAAGTCCTGCTACCTTCTTTTCCAAGAATGTCTTGGCTATTCTTGGTCCTTTGAATTCCCATATAAATTTTAGAATAAGCTTGTCAAGTTTTACTGCAAGAATCTCTTGATATTTTCATGGTATGGAGTTAAATCTGCAGATTAATTTGGGGGAAATTAACATTTGAAAAATAATTAATCTTCCAGTGCTTAAAACTGCATTCCTACTTATTTTGTTCTTATTTAACTTATCAAAGAATACTGTATTTCTTATATACAGGAGTATTGTACTTTCTTAGATTTATAACTAGGCATTTGATATTTCAATATGGTGATTTATTTTAATTTCATTTTATGTGTTGGTTGCTAATACACAGAAGTAAAATTGATTTTTTATATTGATCTTATATACAGCAACATAGTTAAAATTTTTAATTAATTCCTTCTGGAGTGTCTACATATAATCATAAAGCCTGCAAATAGTGACAATTTTATTTCTTTCTTTTCAACCCTTATATATATATATATATTTTTTTTTTTTTTTTTCCCTTCTGTTCCTCCCCTGGCTGGTAACCTCAAGTAGAACGTTCAATGCAATTGCTGATAGCCATTATGCTGGTCTTGTTGGCAATCTCAAATGAAAAGTTTTCAATGTTTGAGCATTGAGTGTACTGTTGGTTATAGGCTTCTGTAGATTTTCTTTATGAGATCAAGGAAGTTCTCTCCAGTTTATTATTTGTTAAAAGTTTTTATCATTAATCAGTGTTGAATTTTTCCAATATTTTTCTGCACCTGTTGGGACGATCATATGATTTTTCTCCTTTAACTGTTAATAGGCATTGACTGGTCTTCAAATGTTAAATGAAAGCTTGAATTTGTGAAACAAACTAAACTTGGTTTTATTCTGTTTACTGACATTTTATATAGGATCTTTGCCTCTCTGCAGATCAGGGAGGTTTCCTTTTCTTTCCTTGCATTGCTGATCTTTTTAGATGGTGGTATTAAGACCAAGCTGGCATCACACCATGAACTAGGGAATATTCTATCTTGTTATTCTAAAAAACAGTGCTGTGTAGACACTATTTCTTATTTGTTGCTTGGTAGGATTTACTAATGAAGCCATCTCGGCCTAGAGTCTCATTTATGGACTCGATTTCTTTGATATTTATGGGACTATTTACATTTTCTATTTCTTATTTGTTTATTTTAGTGAATTGTATTTTTCTAAGAATTTTTTTATCTCAACTAAATTTTTACGTTTGTTCAGGTGAGTGTTCTATTTTTTCTATATGAATATATGAATAGAAAAATATTTCCAATTCTTCTATTTCCATGAACTATTCAAGTTTTTAAATTCCTAATAATTTTAATTTTTTATATTAGTAGAAGGTGCTGTCCTTGCTTTCCTTCTTGTCTGCTCCCAGCCTTGACAAGGGAATTCTGTACTGTTAGTTCTGACTAAAATTTGAAAACCAGTGGTCCGGCGATTCTAGATTCTTTACTGAACATTAGACACATCTAAGGAGTTTTTTTTTAAATGCCAGTACCTAAACTCCACCCCAGAACAATTAAGTGTATATTTTTAAGATTACCCCAACTGATTGAATGTGTATGCAGCATGGAGAACCACTGGTCTACAACACAATTTCTCAGCCTTGGGGCTACTGACATTTGGGGCCAGATAATTCTCTGTTAGAGGGCGGTTCTGTGCATCCCTGATCCCTGACAGCAACTCTGGCCCCCACCCACTAGATACCCTATAACATCCGCCCACATACCCCAGAGTGGTGACAACCCACGATGTCCCCAAACATTGCCAAATATCCAGTCACCAGACACCCACAGTTCTAGGTCAGATGAGGCAGCTGTAACAGGGATACGGATTAAATAGAAGGACAATTTCAATGGGTATGAGAACCATCTTTCCGATATGCAGAGACGTATGACATTAGAATGGACCGTCCCCTCCATCACAGCTGGTGACGGCCTGCTGTGTGAATCATAACAAAAGAGCCATAACAAAAGAGCATGGGGGGGGTCTCCTTCAACAACAGACATTAATCCTCTCCCACTTCTAGAGGGGATTAATGAAGATCAAGGTCAACGTGTCAGTGGGTTAGGCTTCACCCGAGGCCTCGCTCCTCGGCTCGCAGATAGCCGCCTACTCTCCTGTCCTCATGTGGCCTTTCCCCTGTGTGCCCACATCCCTTTATAGGTCCAAATGTCCTCCTCTTATAAGGATCCCAGTCCTATTGGATTAGAGACTACTTTTATGACCTCATCTAACCTTAATCACCTCTTGAAAAGCCCTACCTCCAAATACAGTGATACTGTGAGGCCCTGGCTAGTGAAGACATCAACATACACATTCTGGTGGAGGGGACACCATTCAGGCCATAAGACCTATCAACGGAGGCAAGCAAAACAGTGGCTTGACCCCCACTTACTGGGGACATCGTAGGGTGGCTATCAGATAAAGCAGAAGACTAGTCTAGAAACCTTCTGATTATGAGATTCTGGGATATTGGGAAGAAGACAGAATGAAGTCCAAGTGGACAAAACAGTGGAAGTGTTATAGCGTAGCCATACTTTCAACCTGCCCTGAACGGAACACAGATTTCAGCGAAGATGGTGATAGGAGAGATGGGGGAGCAGGGATTCCAGTTGGGGAGGGGTTGGTACAACCAGGCAGCACGGGAGTGGGGGGAGTTTAGGACGCTCACGGAGTCGGGAATGCACTTCGGCATTACTAAAGCACAGGGTGTGTGTCTGGGCAACTTCCTTGGGGACTAGCTTGAAATCCCCGCACACCTTAAAGCTCTCTGGGCAGCAGGAAACCGTGCTCAGAAGCCTGCTGCTCATCATTGGCTTCCCTCTGGCCATAGCTGGCACAGACCTCGGACGGTGCAAAGTCTTGGAAGAGAAAACTCTTTGCAGGGCTTTGCAAAGAGTCGCTTTACCAAATATTCTAAGATCACCGTGGCAGCAAGCCGTGAGTCTGAAGTGTTTTCTTTCCCTCCCTACAGGCGCTGGCTTTCTGACAGGTCTCGGCCAGAGGTCTGACCACTACATCTGTGTTAGGAAAGGAGGCACCTGTAACTTCTCCCCTTGCCCACTCTTCACCAGGGTGGAAGGCACCTGTTACGGTGGGAAGGCCAAGTGCTGCATACGTTGACTCTGAGCTGGGCGTGATGGAGAAAGGAAGTCCAGCGAAGTATTTGTAATCGCTGTTTCAATAAAAGAAGACTTTTTTCAAGCATACCTCTTTCCGACCAAAATGACTCTTGTCTCCTTTAGGAAGAGGCTGAGAGAGTCTGGGGGTTAGGAGCAGGGATGGGCCAGGCCACAGGGCCCGTCCCGCACGGTGTTGGGCGATGCTGACCAGGCTTGAGCCGTGTCACCTCCACCGCGTGTCATTACCAAGCCAAGTGTGGGTGATGCCGAGGGTGCCCATGAGACCAAGGACGCACACATGAGGAGGGGACGAGGCCGATGAATCCTTCCCTGGTCCAGGCGCAGCTCACCCCAAACTCAGTGGTCTTAGCAGCCTGTTCCGTGAAACAGCCTGTCTGCAGAGCCCAGAGCAGCCTTTTCTCCTTCCTGGGCCTGGGGCAGTGGGTGGGTTCACCTTAGCATCCGAGAACCTCCCTTAGGGCCACAAAACACCTCCTGTAACTTCCCTTCTCGAGGCCTCCTGTCCGGCTTCCTGCTCCGAGATCACACAGCCTCACCACGCGTCAGTGACGGAAGCCTCTGTCCTTCTCATTTCACTCCTTGGCCCACAGACACCTGTTGGGGAGGGAGAGCAGGTTGCTTGCCCTTTTCTCCGATAAATTTTTTACAACTCCCGATGACGCATGCGGTTCTGCCGTCTGCAGTTTGGCAACGACAATTTCATGTTCCACGTCGATACAGTATAAGCACAGATGAAAAGCAAACACTAAAAACTTTTGCTCCTATCCCCCAGCGGCAGGTTCCGTCATTAACCGCTGTCTTTTGGGGGTGGGGGGAGAGGCAGAGGGAGGGGAGGCTGATTTGTGTTGTGGACGTTAACCACCCGGCTTTCTCTGTGACACACACATCACAGATGGCTACTTCCAGTGCATCCAGGCCTCTCCCTTCCCACTGAAAAGGCGAAGAAATAACCCAGGAGCATTTTATTTTGAAAAGAAACCTCAGGCATGCTGTCAACTTCCCTCTTCAAGATGTGGAAGTCCTCCCTGGGAGCATTCCTCTGGATGTCAACTCAAAGACAGATTCCCAGATAAGCCTTCCCACTTAGGACAGCCAAGCTTTGGGTTTCCCAAGACCCAGGTCTTCCGGCAGAAAAAAAAACAAACAAAACAACCCACATTCTGTGTTTATCTTGCATTCTTTGGTTTACCAGGTTGTGGTGATTTTCCCTGCCCTGCAGGAGCTCTTCAAGTGACCAAAAGCAAATGCTCCTGGATCCCCAGCCACAAAGAGGCAAGTGACTGTCCCAGGAAGAGGGTGGTATGCCATCAGCAGTACCAGAACCACAAATAGCAGGCCCTGGACCAGAAAGGCGAGCGTGATTCTTGCAGCCCCTCCACCTCTAGGACATTTGGTCCCAGGGCTCCTACTACAAGGGGGTGGCACTCCTGACTGCCCATTGCAAGGGACTGCAGCTGATCAGGTTCTCATCTTCTCTTGCCACCCGCCCCCCCAATGTCGTGCCATCCCTCGTCCATCCAAACTCCTCTGAGCCTTTGCATTCCCTGCCCCTGCCCACCCAGGGCCTCTGCAGGCTTGCAGCTTACGGAGAAGCCGATACACCCAAATCCTGTCCTCCTTCGATGAGGCCCTTGCTGCGGCTCCCTCCTGCACTTGAGCAGGACCAGCCAAGCTAGCCCACTTCTCCATTTCCCCCGTGATGCACATTCATCTCCCTTCTCACCACTACTCCCACGGTTTCAGCCCCCGCTTTGCTCACACGGGAATGTGGGCGACATCGCCCGAGCCACAGCGGAGGGAAGATGGCCCGGGAGTTAGGGACGTGCTTGCCACTGTCTACAATCCACTGGACTTTGGCCTCATATGGAGACAGTGGGCCATCCTGACTTGGTAGCTCATGGGCCCACGGGGCATGTCACCCAATCTAGTCAAGAGATCGGTGATGGAACTGCAGTGAGCCGAAGAACCATTCTTGTTCTGATGGGCACTGATACATGGTAGCCATTCATGATTTTGTCATAGGTTTCCCTGACAGGGGTCTCCCTTAATAGTCTACTCCAAGCTTTCCTCCAAAAAAAAAAAGAATGAACAGGAGGGAACTGAAGCTCCTTCTGCATGTGGTGGTCTTCAGAGTTAAGGCATCTGTATCAGTCAGTGGTCTTCAGAGAAACAGAACCAACAGGATGTGTGTGTGTGTGTGTGTGTGTATATCGGGCAAGATTTACTTTGAGGAATTGGCCCATGCAATTATGGAGACTTGATGGGTCCAAAAGCTAATGGAGGTGGGCCAACAGGCTGGAAATGTAGAAAAGAGTTGCAGTTCACGTCCAGAGGCTGTCTGCTAGGAGAGTTTCTTCGTTTTGGGGGAGGTCAGTGTGTTCTAGGAAGGCCTTCAACTGATTGGAAGAGGCCCACCCACATTATAGAAGGCAATCTGCTGAAGTCAAAGTCCACTGATTTAAATGTTGCGTTGTATATGTGTTCTTTTCTGCTTATTATGTTTTGATATCTAAAATAATGGAAAACAAAACAAACCAACAAACAAACAAATAGAAAACCTTCCTGGCTGGGGAGAGACTGCCCCGCCTAGGGCTAGCTGATTCTTAGAGCAAAGCCCCAGCCAGGAACATGCCTTTCATCTGTAAACTGACCCATCCAGAGCCACTCTCCTCCGTCTGGCCCGTGCACCCCGGGAGACCATATTCTTCCGCCTTAGTCATCCCAGGGCAAGGTACCAGCCTACTAGAGGCTACCTCTCTAGCCTCAAGCCTTCCCAAACTATTCCAACAAGCCAATCCCAAACTGTGAATCCTGCCCTGCTTTGCCTCCCCTCAGAAACTCCAACAAAAGCAGTGGCCTCAGTCTTCCCCTCCCTCCTGTATTCTGCCTCCTGGCCACCGTGGCGTCTCCATGTGCCCCTGCATGGTGCACTGGGCCTCCCATCTCGAGGATCCGCGAGTATGATACATTCTGTTTCATTGAGCCTCTCGCCACGTGGCTGCACCTGACTGACCATCTCAGGGAAGAAGACGGAACACTTGGCGTCAAGAACAGCACGTCTAGTCACAGGCTGCAGGGGACTTAGGAGATGCCCCCTATGGGCCTGGTGGGCTGATTGACCGTCCCAGTTGGGCTCTACCTTTGGGGACGATTCGGTGGCTGTTGGCTTTCTGTGCACTGCTCTGCTTTTTGTTGCCAAGGCTTCCGACCAGAAATTGGGGCTGTCCTCCTCCTAGAACTCAGATTCCCCTTGCGGCCAGCCTGGCCCCACAAGAGGGGGAGAGGTCCCCAGCCCTCCCACGGGGCTGGCGTCACAAGCTACAGTGACCACAGAGGCTCCACTGGAGGGAGGGTAGGAATGTGTTCTCCCCGAAGCCGGCTCCCTGGGGGTCAGGTGAGGGCTGGGCGACCGTGAAAGTGCTCAGGGGGATGAGCAGCATGAGGATACGGGGGGCGTCCTCATCCACGTTCACCTTCCTTGGGTTCTGCCTAACCGGTGAGGGGTACTCCTTCCAGGGAAGCCCACCACGGTGCCCCAGGAGGGTCCATGCCATGGGCAACCCCTTCTCTTCTGCATGTCTTGATGCTGTTTCTCTTGGTCCCCAGACCCCATGGGGTGTCATGGGTCCCTGGAGCTGTGGCTCACATTTAACAAAAAAAGGGACAGGAGAAGGAATAATTCATTCTGTGCCCCCTAAAATGCCTGAGGAGTTTTCCTAGCTGAATAAATGTACCCCCAGGGTCGACAGGAAGAGATGACTTAGGTATAGCGCTGACTCAGCGTGATCCCTGACACGTGGCAACGACAGGACGCACCGCTCCCTTTCCTTCTCTTTGCCTTGCTCTTGGGGGTGTAGCTATGGGGAGGGAGACCTGTCGTCTTGTCCAGCGGTCGGTGGTCAGGAGCCTGGCTGGCCATCTGAACATGGCCCTCCACCACCTCGTCTGCCTGGGTCACTAACGAGCTGGTTTTTCTGTCTCTGTGGGTTGAAGAGCCTCCATCCATGACAGCCAGAGTCTGACTCAGTGCTGAATCAGAATATATGCGCAAGAAGAGAGAAGTCACCTGTACTCAGAGACTCAGAAGATCACAGAGCTAGAACCATCACAGTTGAACGTGGACAAGACCTTGCAAACCATTCATGGTGGGAAATGGAAGGAGACCCCGGTCTTAGCCCCTCTCCACTACTTCCTGGACCCTGACTTTTCCTCCCTTAAAATCATGCCAAACATGCTATTTAAGCCATGATATGTCAATGAGCATTCACTCAGTAAACTATCACTGGTTTGAATGAAACATCTCAACTCATCAGGTCACAAACCAAAACCACTAATGGAATCTCAGTCCAGTTGCATAACTTTTTGGAAACTTTGAGTTATTAAAGAATCTCCTTTGGTTACGAAGATGCAGGTTTGTCTATTTTTTTTTTAAAGATTTTATTTATTTATTTGAGAGAGAGAGAATGAGAGAGAGCACATGAGAGGGGGGAGGGTCAGAGGGAGAAGCAGACTCCCTGCCGAGCAGGGAGCCCGATGCGGGACTCGATCCCGGGACTCCAGGATCATGACCTGAGCCGAAGGCAGTCGCTCAACCAACTGAGCCACCAAGGCACCCCAGGTTTGTCTATTTTTAAACTTCAATCTCACGTCCTATGGGAGGTTCCTGCCCCCGTGTATGGGCTACCCCAGAGGTGGGGGGTATGTGAGGGCTGGGAAGGGGGTCCTACCTCAGCCTCTTTCTCCCTCTTACTTAGTCCTTTGGATGGGGGGAGGGGTGCATAATGTTTGCTCTTCCAGAAGAACACACTTTATTAGATTAGAACGATTTCTGCTCCATTGGGCTGCTGATTGGTGCTTCCCTACCCGTCTCGTGGGCTGCATTTGCTGGTTCTCCAGAGGACCCTACAGAGCTTCCCCCTTCCACCCCTGGCCTGGGACATCGGGTTCAGGCTCGGACTCTCCCCACCAGCCCCATCCAAGGCAATAGCCCTCGGGATCCATCTTTTGATATCTTATCACCCAGCAGGTGGCTCACTAGCGACAGGCAATGAGGTGACCTAAGTC